CTCATTCATGTAGTGACTGTTGAACCCCAAATACATGAATTTACTGAGGACAAGAATATAAAAACCAAGGACGGGAATAAAAAGATACGAAACAAGTGTAACACTTCCACTTGAATCCTGGGAGGTGCTCAAATAATTCTTTATCATGGTAATAAATTTGCTGCAATCGTCACACATCTATCAGGCCTTCGCTAGATGGACTGACATTATCATTTAATTGGAAATTCTTGTCTTCGTTTGTTAGCACTAGCTTTCTGGGTAACAGTTAAACCTAGTGATATAGTGGAGCAAAGGATCAGGTAATCTGATTTTTCCAATGGACATTACTACGTGTTTGAATAAGAGTCATAAATATTAACTTTAGCACCTATTTTAAAGAAGCCCAAGTCAATCAAAAGGCTAAAGTCTGTTTCTTTAGCTGGAAACTACACAACAGCAATCATGGATGTATGGCGGACCATCCAGGTATGTAATGATGGGCTGAATGATGAGAAGTCTACAATCATCCAAGCCTGGAGCTCAACACATGGGTGTGTCTTAGCTCCGAACATGTGTGTCTACGGGCATATCACAATGTACCTCTAAGGCTTAATTTGTAAATTCCATGAAGGATGGGGAATTTAGTTCTCAACCTTTCTACGCATGAGATTTTTTTGCAACCTCAAGCATTTCTTGGATACCACAAAGTAAGAGATGTACTTTTTGAATCTGTTGATAGTTGAGGAAAAATTAGGCACAGGTAGATTTTTACAATAAACCTGTAAACTACAGCCTGAGAACCACTGCAGCTAATAATGTTTAGGACTTCTTCCAACCCAAGACTGTGTGATTCTTCTATCGTTTTGTTATCAATGACTTTCCTTAAACACTGTGTAGGATGAGGTGCTCACTCACTTCCTCTAACTTCTACTTATTAGGTCTTGTTCTGCCTCTGAAACAACATAAACTAACCATGATTTCTTCCACACAATGGCTTTCCATTACTATCCTTAAATCCAGAAAAGATTGGCAGCTTACAAGAATGTACAAGTCACAGCAAAACAGCACATATCAGGAAAAGAGGAAGAGAGAAAGACAAAGTCAAGCTAGGAAATAAGTTTCAAAATCCATCCTCTCAATGGCCTGTTTATATGCTATAGACGGCCCACAAATGTGGCTCTAGGTTTTCTAGGAGTCAGCTTTCAGAGGGAAATCGTATCAGTTGTACAATTCACAATGTCCTCGAGGACAGCAAAAGTATTCCTGTTGCTAAGATCAGACTGAAATAGCTACCATGGTTCCTTATAAAAAAGTCGATTGGGATGCCCTGAACCACACACATTAAAGTTGCTGTATAATGACCACAATATAAACAAATGGCATTAAACCAAAGTACTATTTAGGAAAAGCAATTCTTTGAAGGGATAAAATAGTGAGGCCTAGGTATCTAGTTCCCCTGCTGTAGATCTGGCTCGATCCAGGGCTATATTCCAGAATATTTGAAAGACAGGATCAAATGAATGTCCTGTAAGTAATTTTCCTTGAATATTGGATCTTTTAGGTGAACTTTTGATAAATATTGATTATATTTTTGATTAAATATTAAATAAATATGCAGTTACTTTATGCTGGGCACTGTTCTAAGGCTTTTGAACTGATTATCTCATTTAATATTTGTAATAATCTTACACAGGGTGACTATAATATGCCCTGTTTTAGAAACAGGGAAACTAAAGCACAGAAAGATTAAGACCACTGGGAATTGGTGGAGCCAAGAACTGAACTTAAGATCCAATCTAATCTCCTTTTTTTGAGGAAGATTAGCCCTGAGTGAACATCTGCTGCCTAACCTCCTCATTTTGCTGAGGAAGACTGGCCCTGAGCTAACATCTGTGCCCATCTTCCTTGACGTTATATGTGGGACGCCTGCCATAGCGTGGCTTGACAAGTGGTGTGTAGGTCTGCACCCGGGATCCAAACCAGCAAATCCCTGGTCATCAAAGTGGAACGTGCAAACTTAACTACTGTGCCACTGGGTTAGCCCTCTAATCTCCTTTTTGACCACTACAGAATCCCAAATGGCATGTACGTTGGGTTAACATCCTTTTGTGAAAGCTAGGATTTGAAGAAAAAGGGCAATGATGAGGTCAATCTATTTCTGTTGAGAAGCCAAATCAATGGGAATTGATATAATCCTGAAAAAGACTGTGAGGATTGGAGAAAAAAGGCAGGAAAAGAAAGGAAAGCATTGAATTAATCCTTCAGAAAGTCATTTTTCTTTGTTCTTTTTTCAACTTCTTCAAATTGCAAACTATGGTTGTTCAAAATATGTGTGTGAATTCTTTAATACTCTTTCCTTTAAAGATGGAGCCCAATTCCCTGCCCTTTGAGGGTGTGCTGGTTGTAGCACCTCCCCTCTAATAAACAGAATAAAGCAGGAGTGATGGTGTACAACTTTGGAGGTCAGGTCACACAAGGCACTGTGGCTTTC